CAGCAGCCTTTTGCATTGATTTACGTATTATATCGAAGGGAGAAGATGATTTATAAACTACTCTATTTACACGTTCGAAAATGTAGCGCACTCCGAATAAATGTTCAGGGCTTCAAATTTGCTCTCATCGCACAACGCTTCTTTCTTTACACTGGGCATTTTTTGTTTCGAGCGGGAACGTCGGCCGGCGCCTGCGACTAGCACATAATTATACATAGCTCATACACGAAGTCGTTCTGAATAATAATCAACCTTACCTCTGGTTTGTCATCGAGCTTCAAGCCTTTCCCGACACCCGGTGAAAGCGCGTCCGGCTCCATAGGCCTACGAAGCTTCTCGGAGAGCCGTCCAAGTACAGACTCGCCCAATCGAGCACGCGGACGTGCAAACTGAACGGCGAGAACAGCACACGACATGAGGTAAGAAAGGCAGATTCAAATCTTGCAAATAAGCGTCGCGCACACGCCTCGGCCCTGACATCCAGATTCCTGGGACTACCGTTCAATGCTCTCGTGGCACTAGTGCGCCTTTCGCCAACGCCCCTGTTAGTTTGGCATGGTTCTGCCGCTGGGAGGCGGGAGTGTCATAGCTTTTTTCCCTCTTGCTTCTGCACATTAGAAATATATTTCTCTAATTTCCATCTTCTTAGCTGAACAAAAACGCTTTCTTGAAAGTACAACGATGGTTTACGGAGTGATAAACGTAATTTCACATGCATAAACATATTTTCAATGGCTCTTGCCAATACTGCCAATCACAAAATGGTTACCGATGACGCCACCTGCCACATGCTTTCAACGAACTGCGTCGCAGCCGGACGTTGAACTGTCTTTTCTCGATCGAATTAAAATACAATGTGCTATTATTTCGTGGCTATTGCTCGTTCCCAGAGAAGCCGGAACCACTAATGAGGTAATAACATAAGAAGTACAGGCCCCTTTAAGTGTTTGCTGAGCCAACCGTTTCGGCGCTAAACCTTTGAGTGTAAAGACAGTCTGTGATTGCGTGACCTACTTTCACCGTGAAGTGTGGCGTGGGCTAAACTAATTTAATCACGATACTATATGTGTATCCATATATGCAAAAAAAAAAAAAATAGTAGAATGGGAGACTCTTGTGTTTCATTACTAACTGATGTGTACGATAGAAGAAAGTATTTTGTCGAAAATTATTTTATCGCATCTTTTTATCCAAGACGTGAGTTGTATATTTTTTTCAAAAGTTAAAATATTTAGTTTCCCTTATAAGATTATTGATTTTGAGCACTACAGTAAAATTAACTCTATTTAAGAATAGCCAAAAATGCGGGGGTGGATGCTGTTAGAAATGCACAAAAAAAAATTGATCATTTGCCTCACTATTGGCGCCGTGTGGGCACTACATAAGGCGCTTTCCTTGGCATCATCATCATCGTTTATGACGCAGCAGAATAAAAGAGAGATCCGGTTGTGCAGCAGATTCCCCGGCTCGTCAGAACCTTTCAGGTGTGCGGATGCTTCACGCTTGTTTAACGCGTGTTTTTATGGTGTGATATATAAGCCATGAAATATATCCCCTCTTGAAGTCGCATAGCCGTGATGAGGAAACATTCTTGTTGCTGAGGTCTCGAAGCTCTGGGATGGCAATATGCTGTTTCCTACACCAGTACTAAAGCGCTGTATCATAAACATAGAATATACAGCTCTTTACCTCAGTACCGCAGCTGCAACAGGGTTAATTATTATTTAATCGGAACGAAACAAATGAAAATAAGATGCAGAAAATATAGCTCGCCACGCCCTAAACGTCCAAGCCAGACTTAAAAAAAAAAATTCTCACTAATGTAGTAAATGATTGAACTAAAATGACTTCGTGTACCCCGTTGGTTTCACTGTGTTCTGTGAATGATGGTCTCTTATTATGTCAAGGTTAATTTATTTTCAAATCCTAGAAACCAGTGAACTCGTTCCCAGCGACAACAGGCTGGAAGACACGGTGGCTGACTCTCACAGCCGTTTCAACTAAATGCCTGCTTATTGTCCCGTTCGACGCGAGACGTGTGAAGTCACCTACGTGATTATAACCTATAAGATCTAGCGGTGACATTTCGGTGTTCTAAAGAGTGCATTATACAGCTGTTATGAATTACGGACGCTCGCGTGCCTGTTATTGCGTACCTAAGGCATATTTGAGCAGCCGGTGTGCTGCGCTTTTTAGTCAGAACTTTTAAATTTATAATCTGTCCTTGAAGACAACTGAATTAAACCAATTAACGAATTGTCTTAATTTGGCAAACCAAGCCTCAAAATTTTAAATATGAGATTTTACTTTTCCTTCTAGGAGAAATCGTGATGTCGCAAACTCCTTTGTCACACATTCAACACTACAGAAAAAAAAAAAAATCCACAATCATTTTGGCTTGTTTTTCACGGTATCCTGCGAATTCTCGCCAGCATCTGTCAATTAAGGAAGGAAGCGTCGGTAGCGGCAAGCTCCATAATGGACAACACATGTGCTGTGCCACGCAACATAACAGCGCGCGCGTGCAAGATGACAGCACGTATTACACTACGGTGGCGGCAAAACACATTTTCCAAAAGTGATTTCTATAGATCCATCAGAGAAAGAATCAAAGACGCCATGACGCACACCGCCTTCTCCTGGCTCGTTTATTAACACCCTAAAGATTTATATTTTAAAAAGTGTTTTGGAAATGCTGTAATTTAGCAGGAAAACAAAAATTGCCAGCGACTTATACTTTTAAGTCTCACAATGCATGAAATGCATTGTAGGGAATTGGTGAGAGAATTGGTGTTTTACGTGACGTAAATTTTCCCGCAAAATTTAGTTGGAAAACTGAACGGTTTTATGGGTCACGTGAAGCGAGGTCGCGCAATGTGATGTCACGTGACGCATGATAGACCGATGAGCGAGCACTACGAGTCAAATCGACCTATCTGAGTTCAATGGTCACTGCCACAATCCGCGAAAATCGTTCGACCAATAGTAAATATATGGGTCACAGCTGCACTTATATTCCTGAGTCCCACTAGAGCGACAAACAGAAACAAACGACAGCGACAAGCCTCGAAACAGAGTCTTTCGCGATTTGACAGGCTTTGTAGAATAGCGGAGGTTATGCTCAAACACGAGCAGCATGCAGGCGAAGGCATGTTGTGGCAGGCTTGCAATCACTCGAGCTTACTTCACGAGCACCGAACTACTATACTCCGTCTCACCAAAACCGTGCAGTATATCCAAAGCTACAGGGAAGCTAGCGTCTGCCAACTTCTTGAAGAGGATGGAAAGGGGGAACAGAAAACAAGGGCTGGAATTCCCCCATTCCTCTTTTCCCTCCTCTTGAAGAGATCGGGATACACTCTGTCCCTTGTAGCTTTGGCAATACTACACGGTTTCAGTGAGACGGAGTATAAACGCCTGCCAAAGCTACTACCATCCCAAGCATGCTGCATGTGTTCGAGGCTTGTCGCTGTCCTTTGTTTCTGTTTTTCGCTTTAGTGGAACTCGGGCATAAAAGTGATCGGGTTCCTACAATGTGATCGTGACGGAAAACTATAAATAACAATACAAAAATAAGCCAGCGGTGTACGAAGCTTTTGTTGATACTGCCGCTCAAGTTGTGTTGGCGTCGCCCAAATGGCCTGGTGGACGATTCTCCTTTTTGTTTGTCATGGTTTCAATTTTGCAAGTTATCGGCCTTTAATACCCATCATTGATGCGAACACCCCAACTGCGCCACAATAGAGCGGCTGCCAGTATATGGTGTCCAGTACATGCGGCACACTGCACTCCCACGAACGGCAAGGAACCAGGGAGCGTTGCCCTGGCTACAAAAGGTCATCACCGGCATGCGGCATGGATGTCATATGAGACGAGCGGCCACAATGAACAGTCGGATTCTTCAATGTTACTTATGACCATGTTCTCCTATAATCACTCACTACTTGTGTCACTCAGGGTCTGGCGTTCTTATTGGTTAGTGCCGCGATTGCGTAGCCTACACAACGTTAATCTTGTGCCCGTGACTCGCCACCACATGCCTTTCTCAAGCTCTCAATGTGTAAAAGATTAAATGTAGTGTCTTCTTGTTTTTGAGAATTTTAGCTTCGCGTTCCTCCACTGAGTTGGCAATACAACAACAAAGCGTTCGCAGCTGATATTTCGAATAGTTCTACCCGCCAAGAAAGGTGATGACTTTTACAATACAATGAAGTTTTTTTGTTTTTTTTTTACATTCGGGACGTTTTAGGAACCGGAACAAATCTACCCGCCTTGCCCCGTTGATGGTGGTTGTTTTGTGCACGCTTTTATAATTTGAACAGAAGTATGCGTTCATTAGTTCTTAGTATCCGTCTACCCATGACTGCTTTTTCTTCGTGATAATCCTACAGAAAAACCCAGTATAACTTTTCACTCTCTAGATTAAGGAACTGGAAATCTAGATGAAATTGTTTGTTTAAACGTAAAATCCAGGTTGGAGACAAAAGACAAATTCTGAAAACCTAAAGTCCATATGGAGCATAGATAGATTTCCAGTTCTGAAATCCAGATAGCGAAAAGTTATAAGGTTGTTTTTTTTTGGTAGGGAATATGGTGTATATGCAAGACACGAAGTGGTGTGCGTTATCTGATTTTCACGCTAATGATTAATTTGTTCTTCAACGTAGTTATCAAAACCCGCTTTTTGATCTGCACAAGACTGGCTCTTTGGGTGAAGATATTCCTGTGCTTTTGATGTTTCAATGTCACCTTTCGGTCCTAGAATGTGTGGAAAACAATATAGACAAGATGTAAATAGAAGCGTTACCAATATATTCAAGTTGGATGAAACCCCTACCAAAAGTTGTGTACGATTAGAATGTGCACTACATATAAGTTTTCAAAAATAAACTGTTTTAGGCAGATATTGTTTTGACATTTAGGAGGCTGCAAAGCAAATTAGTTCTCCCATATGCATGCCCAGCAGCTTGTGTTGTTTCTACATAAGTAAAATAACCTTATTTATAATCAAGCAAATTCACCTTTCAAGTTTATTTTATCCAAACTATACAAACAGCTATAACAGTTTAGATCAAACTTTATATGTTTTCCAGGTATCCCGGGCCCCGTGATGTCCGCTTATATTGTCACACGAAGCAACCGTATACGTCTTCACGTGTGGAGACCTCCTGCGAACAAAAATAAATTAGGTGGCAAACAAAACACATGTAGCGGATTGGAAGTTAAAACCAAATTACTTGAAATACTTGCAGCACAGTGTTTTTATTTTCGGTTATATTTATGCGTATAAATGCCAAAGAAAGACAGGTCATTCGAAATTGTGTCAGGCGTACACGATTATTATCTTATCGAAAACGTTTTTCCTTCATATTAGTATGCGCATATATTCAGTACAAAGACAACATTCAGAAAAGTAATGCTAAACACATTTCCTTAACTTCTGTTTTCCTAGATTTTGGCGGCATACATGTTGTAAATTATACAAATCGAAATAACGATTAGGGGGATTTTTTCATTTTTAAGAGGTACCATTGCTGCTATGCTCGATTATAGAAAAAGTTTAATTTATATATACAGAATTGTTCATGCTACAGATGTCTCTTCGGTGAACGCAGTAGCAATGTGGCACACACCGTATTTTTTTATATTAAATTTGAAGAAGAAGTAAAATTTGTTCTAGGAGAGATTTCCAAAAATACAAATGACCAACACAAAAAAGTGCCATCCAAAGGTCACATATCAAGCGAACTGAGAGTAATCTCGTCAGCATCACTTAACCACGTCACTTGACGTGGTGTGTTGCTCTGTGTGGTGCGTAACGGGACCACCACACTTGACGAAGAGTCGAAAAGTCTCGATATATACTAGAAAGCACTGACGCTACCGGCCTTGCACCGTGTTCGACCTGCAATCTTTTTTTTTTTTCAGAGATTGACAAAGAGGGTTAAAGACGTTTAGAGGACATGGTTACTTACTTGAACGCTTGCTTGCACATTTAAGGAAACTTCATGTGCCCTTATCCTCGGAATCCCCCAAATCCGCCAGGTGGCCCAAATCCTAAACAGCGAAGAAAATGTCCAATCAAATGCAACATCAATGATCATCAATTTGATGTTTTTGGGCTCACTCGCTATTCAGTGTATAGCTAGAAGCGGAATTTTCATAAACGGCTACACTTTGTGGTAGCCTTTACGCGATATTTTTTGGTATATTTCAAAATGAAACATAGCCTATACGAATACAACTTTAAGAAGAGTAAATTATTTTAAGTCGATATATGAAAACTGTATTGGTGTACTTTTTTTACAAGCGGGAGATTTATTGAAAGCTTTTGCAACACTTTGAAGCTATGGATAAATCCAATGACTATGTTTTTTTTCAGGTTGTTATTACGCACATTGTGCTCACATATTCTTAGCTGCTGTATAGTTTATTTGGCAAATACGGCACCTTCAAAGTGTTCCGCAAATTATTTGGCATAAAGCCGGACACGCGCGGCGCCCCTCCGCAGTCATTCATCCCCTTACATTTTCATTTGCTGACATAACGAGCATTTAAAAAGGCGTCCAATTTTAGAAAAAAAAAATAAAGCAGACTACTGGCTCTGTAGTTTAGAGGGCACCTATCAAATTCGAAACTCGTCTCGTGCGTTACCCTCTTTTTAAGCTCTATCGTAATGAGCCAATACTATAATATTCTTGTGTTTTTTTACATAAATTTAAACCTAAAACGGGTTGTGGAAAAACTGCCTCATTTTTTATGTTTTTTGGACGAGCGCACTCACTAATGTTCTGCACTAAAAGATGGTAAAACTGATTCCAGGGGTGTCCGACCGTGAAAACTATGTCAATTTGATTTGTGTTTGTGCAACGGGCTTGCCTTTGATTTCTATTCGCTTTGTTTCGCGTGAGTTGAGGGGCGGTTGCGCCAACGTGCAAACAGCCCTTAAACACTTCCTGTTCTGAAATAGACGGCGGGTGTTACAGTGTGTGCGAGACCAAATCGACGTTCAATCTTTGGGAAATTGTCGCTTATAGTCGGGTCAGACGTAATTCACTCTTTCGGGAAAAGAGAGTCTAGTAAAAAATAGGAACTGCAGGCGGACCAGAAGTGTGCCAGTGCTACTTCATTAGGTGGCAGCGCAAAGTTTGTTGCGCCACAAAAGAAGGGGAGAATATTTCAGCTTTGTTCGCGTTGACGAGACTCACGGTCATCACGCCTGGAAATCATCCCGACGGCAAACTCCTTCAGATAATTCATAATACGGGTGAGATAGCGCGTAGAATATACCAAGAAAAGTATTCAGAAGAAAAGGACAAGATATTGTCATCGACTTTGGTATACAAGATACTCTAAAAGCGCAGAAAATATTTATAGTGCATTATCTTAAGTTGGGTATCTGTGACAAGTACAAGCCAAGACTTCACTAGGTGTTAGAATAAAGTGAGATAAAAAATTGCAGCTCAGTGAAAGGGTTAGTTACTGCACCATTCGTGACCGAGCGCATGGCATTTAAGCTAATCGAATTAATTTAGCGCCGAAAATGTTTTTATCTTAGACAAATATTTGCCTGCGAAGAAGAGAACTGTGAGGTGTCTGGCAATCAGTCTACTTGTCTAAAACTAAGTTGAAGTCCACATTCATTAGAAGCACCCGGCTATCTTCGCTCGAGAGTTCACTTACCTCCGCAGTTTCTTTGGCATTCCTGCAGGGATCTGAAATTGTTAGCGCCCCCCTGGCATCCGCCGTAGAGGAACTGCTCGCAGCGACCGCGGTTGCAGAAATACCGAGGAATTGCAGCCCTGCAGGGTCCAGTACCTCCAGGCCGGAAAATATCAGGATATCCGCGCTCTAGAAGGTAGTACACAATGACCATTCAGTTGCTTATAAACGTGCATTAAAAAACGAATTTTGTGGAGCCGGTGGCACGCTGTTAGGAAAGATGATATAATCTAAAAGTGATATTTGATACCTTAATAACATTCGCTATTAAGAATGCAGCCGGTAAATGACATGGCAATTTAAATGTAAACTTAACAGTGTCAAGGGTTTTATGATTACTTAATCATTCCAGAATCGCACTTAAAGTAAAACTAGCTCAGGTTTCGCGTACGAGGGGGACGTGGCACGGAATAGAAGTAGAACTTGTCAGAGTTAGCCACTTTCCAAGCACCTGCGCTAGATGAATCACCGTCCGCGACACTTCCCCATCTAAGGCTATCTAAGTATCTGACGCTGCAACAACATGGTTTTATTAAAGGGCGCTCTGTCGAAACTAACCTTTGTACTTTTCTACACAACGCAGCCCCGGTCGTTTCAAACCGAGGGCAGGTTGACTCGGTATATTTCGATCTTACAAAGGCTTTCGACAAGGTTGACCATGCTTTGCTTGTACATAAATTGAAACAATATGGTTTCGCCCCTAAACTTTGTGAATGGGTTTATAGTTACTTGTCATCGAGGAAAAATTTTGTTCGAGTTGATACGGTTTTATCTAATCCGTTTTTCCCAACTTCAGGCGTACCCCAGGGGTCAGTGTTGGGGCCACTGTTGTTCCTGGTATTTATAAATGATATTTTAAAGTGTGTAAAGTTTGCTAAAGTGCTTTTATTTGCCGATGACATTAAGTTATTCTCAAGTATTTGTTCTGAAAAAGATTGTGATGCGTTACAGTCTGATGTTTCGAGTATTTTGCAATGGTGCTCATCCAACCGTTTGCCTTTGAATATAAACAAAACTAAAGTCATCTCGCTAACTAGACGTAAAAATCCCTTACATTTTAAGTACACGTTGGGAAACTGTATTATTACTCGAACTGATATGATCAGGGACCTCGGGGTGTTAGTCGATTGCAAACTGACGTTCAGTTCTCATGTAACTACTATTTGTGGTACCGGGTTCAAAATGCTTGGTATGATCTCCCGTTTGACTCGGCACTTCCAAGCACCTGAGGCCATATTACGTTTATTTTGTGCTCTGGTCAGGCCCAGGCTCGAATTCGCTTCTGTCGTGTGGAACCATTTAACGGAGACTGAATCTAGACGTATTGAAGCGGTGCAAAGGCGTTTGGTTCGCATAGTCTATGATCGATACTTCCACAGGAGACTTTACTTCGACCACCATTCTCTGCTTAAGATTTTGAATCTCAGCACTTTGGATGACCGAAGGCATTGCCGAGATGCGGCTTTTCTACAAAAGCTTATCCAGGGTGTAATTGACGTACCTGACCTTCTGGACAGCATAAAGTTACGTGTGCCAACGAAATTCACGCGACAGTTCGACATGTTCTACCCCAACATGCGATTAAAGGAGTCACCAATCTATCGTATTCAGACATCATGCAACCTCCTTGTCCAGCACGATTTTTTTTTCATGCCTTATTTTACCTTTAACACCTGATGTGTATTTTATGTACTTTGTTACGACTGTTTTATTATGCTGACTGTTCTAATATGAGTATTGTGGTTTCCATATGTTTGCATGTTTCATAGGAATCTGACTTCTGTGCACCAATGTCAAAACCATTATGGTGTTTTTGGGCACGCAATAAATAAATATCAATCAATCAAAAGGCTGTGCGTCTTCCGTGTCGACGCAATAAAACAAAAGGCCGGTTAGAAAGGGCGACGACGCGACGCTTTGAGAAGACGCGGAAGCGCTTGCCAGGCAGGCAACGACTTGAAGTAAGCATCCACTGGGTTCCGTGCAATTTTTCGAGGCAAAATTACGTTGTTTTTTTTTTGTTTTTTTTTGTGTGTGTACTTAGATAAAAGATGTGGAAAATACAGACTGCAAATTCTTTTATCAATAAAATCGTTACACTACCCATTTAAACAGCCAGTTGATATTAATTCGTTATTCTTTGCCAATACCAAAATCTTTATTTTTTAAAAATCACCTTTATCCGCGTTCAAAATCCACTCCAACCTCAGGTTGGTTGTATTTCTCATGAGATAAATGACAGTTGGTTCTGAGCTTTCGCTGTGAACCACCTCAAATATGACGTTCACTAAATATGCCTTGGTATTCAGTTTGCAGGGCACGACTTGAACCAGGAAATTTAAAGAGTAAATTGCTTTCGATTAAACAGTTTCGGTGCCGAATGGTGGTAAAACAAAACCAAAAATTTGGCAGCTAAATAAACGAGTAAGCTGAGTTTGAGACGTCTTCCTGTCTATTTCTGTCTCTTCTACGTTTTGATGCTTCTTCTCTACTTCAGAATCAGGTTCATTCAACATGGTTAATACTTACTAGCTCGCCTGCACCGTTATGATATTTTCGCAAATCCCTAATCTGTCCAAAATTATAATATACTACTGCTAAATGGGGCCCCGCTCACTCGCTACTAATTCGTTGTATTGAATCCATTCGTGACCGCTCAGCTCATTTCATATTGACAAACTGTCATCGCACTTCCAGCGTTTCTATAAAAAACAAAAAAAAAACACTTTAGGTCTGCTGTACCTCCAAGAAACTTCTTGCTTGTTTTTTTGTTGTTTTTTTTCTTCATAAATTGTTTTATTATGATGCTATTTTTCGTCATAAACTAATTACTTCACCATCCTACAGATCTGCTCACATTGATCATAACCATAATGTTGGTATTCCAAATTTAGAATTTCATTATTTCGATATTCTTCTTTTGTTATATTTGAAACGTCGATAGACTAGAAGAACCTTCTCGCCTCTATTGCTTGCATCGATATAATTTTTTTTGTCTAAGATTGCTATTAATAATGTGTGCTTTTTATTGCTTATATAGACAGCGCTCTCCACAATTCAATTTCAAATAAATGACAGAAATAATGTTAATTAAGGTCATAATAAATCGGTTCGTTAAGCATTAGCCTAAAGTGACGAAACAAAATCAAATGTAAATTAGGTTGCGTTAAAGTCCATTGGGTCAAGAGTAACTCCAACATAGTCAAAAGAGTATTATTAACGTAAAGGGATAGCTCGCAATAGATCAATTTGTGGTATAATAACTCGGCTGGATTTAATGAGAAAATTCACGTCACGCGATCTTTACACAAATTCAATTCTCCGCTAAATTTAGCGTGGAAATGAATTGGTGTTAAGCTCACGTGAGGCCGATTTTTCCGCTAACACTAGCGGAGAAACGGAATTTGTCCGCTACATCTAGCGGAGGAACTGAATATCCTCCCAAAATTTAGCAGGGAATGAATTGGTCTTGAGGTAACGTGCCGTAAATTTCGCCGGTAAATATAGCGCGGTTACGCCGACGCCGACACCGACGCCACGAAACTTGGAAACGGGCACCTAAGAGCTGTGCTCTAAAATTTATGGCAAATTGCTAGGCAATTCGTTTGGATACGCCAAACGTTCTAGCATCACAAACGTTGCACCTCGTGGCTACACCGATGTGCAATCGGTACCATGTAATGTAAATTTCCAGCTAAGATTGGGGGGAGAGGGGGGGGGGGGGAGCTGCATTGGTTTATAGGCCAGTTCACGTAAAACTTATCCCTAAATTTAGCGAAGAAACTGAATTTGTGTATAGGTTACGGGACACGAAGCCATGTGACGTCATTTTCCTGCTAAATGTAGCGGGGAAATCAAATCGGCATTGAGGTCACGTGACGTCGATTCCTCCGCTAAATTTTGCGGGGAAACTGAATTGGTGTTGAGGTCACGTGACGCCAATTTTTCAGCTAAATTTGGCGGGAAAATTGATTTTGTGTAGAGGCTATACGTCACACGAAGTCGTGTGACGACATTTTCCCCGCTACATATAGCGATGAAACTAAATTGGTAATAAGCGTAGGTGACCTCAATTTTCCCGCTAAATATATCGGGAACAGTTAACCTGACCTTACTTAATCTGGCTTCATGAAATCTGAGCAACTAAGTTCACATGACGTGAGCTCATGTGACATCGTTTTTCCCACTACATTTAGCGAGGAAATTTAACAGGCATTCAGGTCACCTCAAGTCAATTTCTCGCTAAATCTGGCGGGGAAACTTAATCTGGTTTCACAAGATCCGGAGCAACCATAGCAACGTGACACAAAATCATGTGACACCATTTTCCCGCTAAATATAGCGGGAAAATTTAATTGTCACTGAGGTCAAGTGACGTCAATTTTCTGGCTAAATTTAAAGAGGAAACTAAACCAGGCTTTACGAAATCCGGAACAACTAGGCAAAGAACGTTTCAAGCTAAAAATTAAAAGACGTTAAGAAATCTCTGTGAAACGAAAGTAGAGCGTGGCTTCTGTGGAGGAAGAGGGAATGGTACGGAGGGGAAGGTATGCCCCCTCCTGCTCCGCACGCTCTACTTCTCCTCCTCTCCCCTCTTCTCCCCTCCTTCTCCTCTACCTTCCTCCTCCCTCATCCTCCTCCTCGCCTCCACCTCCTCCTCATCTATACTTTCCCTCCTTCCCACAGTCTCCCCGCTAAATTTAGGTGAAGAATTGACACCACATGACCTCAACACCAATTCAGCTTTCCCCACTAAATTTAGCGGGGAAAATGACGTCAGATGACATGGTATCACGTCAACTATGAAACAATTCAGTTTCTCTCTAAATTTAGCGGGACAATTGTGGTAACACTCCAGTGCATCACAAAATTGCCCGCTAAATTTAGCGGGAAATTGAATTGGTATTGAGGTCACCTGATGTAAATTTACCCGCTAATTTTAGCGCGGTTACGCCGAAGCCACAAAACATGGAAACATGCGCCTAAAAGCTGAGCTCTAAAACTTGGGAAACGCTTAAGCTTTGCCTTTAAGAGTGGAACGGGATAACGTTATCGGGTCCCGCTCGCAAAGCCTTCTCATAAAAACGAGTGCTAGTTGCCAAGCCGCGCAAGCGTGTGTGCGAGGTCTA